AAGTAAATCTAAACTTCTTAACCTGGATTGGAAATTTCCCTCTATCAGGCCCATTCAAGGCTCTAAGTGAACGCGCTTAACCACAAACCAACTTCAAGCACAACTGCAGCTCCAGAACTCCTTAAGCAACTAAGTCATGGACTTGCCTCAATAGCCATAACAAAGCCTCTCTTTCTTACTCTCTCCCACACCAGTTTAAGAACTACTGTTATGATTTTTACAGTCTGGTTTTCCAGAAGCCACAAGACAGTAATTTTATTTTCTACTAAGAACCCCAGCTGCTGTACAGCTGTTCTTTATTGCTTCACAGCAGAAGTTAACAGCTTGACTCAAAGTCACATGAGCTTGATAGTCTAGAACTTCAGAGCCTTCCTGGAAGCTTATCACCCCAGCACAGCGACTGACCAAGCTCCACCAGGCTCTGCAGCAGCACGACCAAGCAGGGCTCCCAGCTCGTGAAACAACACACGAGAACCGAGGAATGATAAAGCATCCACAGAAATTACTCAGTCATTTACAGGCACATCTATAGATCATTGGCAGTAGATGCCTTTGCAGAGGCTAATAAATCTGGCGGTTATCAGGCAAGTTTCCTCTAAGATTACTTCATCAAAAGCTTGCTATGCTGAAGCACACCTTGCCTCTTCAAAGCAGCACAAACCCCATCCTGGCTCATTTTCACCTCTCCACACTTAGAGACTAGTCTGTGACTGCAACACCAAAGGGCAGACTCCCACTACAGCAAGCTCACTTTTTTTTGTATTGTTTCTCCCACTCCTAACTAAAGAGCCACTTGCTGTGGAAGAGCTTTCAATTGCTATGCCAAAACAGCCTCTACTCGAGGTTTACAGGTTAGAGTTTCTCAACTGATAAGCTGCTCTCTTCAGCTTAATACATCCTCCTCTGAAACATCCTCTTTAAACACCAACCAGAAGAGCTCTTTTTCCTACAGAGCTTTTATTTGCTTGTAGAACACCTGCCTCCTTAATGCCCCTTCCTTTGCTAACTACCTTTTATTCCTTTATTGGCATCACATGTCTCATCTGTCACACTGGACCTATTTCCCTTAAAGGAGCATGCAACCGAGTAAGTCTGAAAAGGCATTGACAAAAGCATACTTTTTTCTGACAAAAGCACATTCTGATCCAAACCATCATCCCGATAAAATCTTACTTGCCCCAAATTATGAGATGTTAGAGCTCCTTAATGAAACAGCTGAGATATTTTTAACATGGTCAAAAAACCTATTTTATCTTCTGACCTTCAGCTCAGAAATAGCTGCACCATTTTTTTCAGACACTTCCAAAAATTGACTGCACAGAGTGAACCCCCCCCCTACGATTTCAGCCTCAATATTTAAAGTTTGGCATCATATAACTAGCTGAAAACATGGTCTCTCAACAGAAGATGTTAAACAACTGCCGCTACTCCCAACTTCCAGCTCTATCTGGAATAATAACAGGCTCAAGTGACCAGGGTCTCAGCTGTTCATCTCATTCAATGTGCCAGAAATATGCAGCAGGGAGATTTGCACTTTAATGATTTCTGCTAAAGTAGATGGCAAAGCCCCTTTTTCTTCCAGAACAGAAAACAGACTGTGAAAGGGGACTCCCATGTACGTCTTCTCACAGTCTGCTATACCCAAACAGACCCAGATTAGCTTCTGAGAGCTAAGCAAGCTTTGTCATCAGGTCGTTGACGGGTTAAATACATAGCTATGGCATACAGCACTGATTCCCCTAAGCTTCTTGCTAAATGTACTGTGTAGTAATATCACACAGAGTAATAAGGGGAGATCTCTGGAGCTGGATTATTTGGCCAGCTGGCTCTTCGGATGAGTTATTTACCCCCTCACCAAGTTTAATTTGTTAAATTTCATCACTTGAGTTACGCTTGTGATCTACCCTCTGCTGCGTTTCAGAAATAGGGCCACTGTTAGAGGCATTCGGACTTTACCCAATCCAAAGCTGCATTAGTAACGTGGTCGGAATCACAAAACAATGTGTAATGTGAAGCAGGGCAGACTGCAGTCTCCCTCATCCCTTGTTTGGACCCGTATCTTGCAGACAAACCGAGGTGCTAACGCTCTGTGTCACTCTGGCACCTTTGCAATACCATGAAGGGTCTTTTTGAGATCAGGCACACATGGTGATAGAAGAACCTCCAGAACTGAATGGCGAAGAATGTTATGGCATCAATAAATTATACTGTAAATATAATTCAAAGTCATACCACAAATACAATGCAAGGCTTGTCTTATATATAATGTCATTGCTAGATTACCAGCCTGAGCAGCAAGGTACCCCAATTTTGTTTCTCAGTTCTGCCAATGTGACTCAGTTTCCCCATCTGTAAAGTAGTTGTGGTAAAGCGTATCTACTTGTGTAAAATAATTTGAGACCTTTGAGTGAAATAAGACAATAGGAATGGTGTTTAGTCTTGCCATATAATGTAATGCCATTTATTACTGGATAGAGTTATAGCTATTTAACTGTGTAAGTTTGCTTTACCATTGCCATACAAATCATGGTTTGCAAAAACACAGCATTTTCTGAGGTCTAGGCTGGTATCTGTGTAGTCTGGCCGGCCAGGACGCTTAACAAAGGAGTCTTGAATATTCATATTCATTTTACATGTTGCTTCATGGGGAGCTGGTGGAATCTGTAACTAGAGCCCTGACATAGCAGTGAGTCCAATGCTAGCAAAGACCCTGAGTCTGATTACAGCCTGCTTACATCTTAGAGCCAGCAACTGTAAAGATTTCTATATATTAATGTACTTAGTGGAGCCAACTACGGAAATGATACCTATGACATTTTTCACCCCAGTGAATTTGAAGACAACATTGAAAGTTTTACATTGTACCAGGACATTTTATAAGAGCGCTCTGCTGTGTGCATTCTTGGGTGGTGGTGGTGGTGGGCATTTGTAGAGTTTTGCTTCTCTTCTGTCTGCCTCTCATCACTCCAGCAGCCTTCCCAAAACCTGACGTGTCTACAAGCACTGTCAAGCTGAACTGAAATGCGCTCCAGGAGGTTCACTAGGTGCTTCCTTTGTTTAGAAAACCTAAGACTGGAGTTGTGGATGCACATGTGTAGTTAGAAGGTAGTATGCTAGAGTCGCAATAATTTCAGGACACAAAGCAATGCGATGTCCATAGACAAATAACAGCTACACACCCACACACACATATATAAAAATTAGCCCTGCCAATGCAACTGGGAAAAATGGAGACCTTTTCTTTCAGTTACTGAAACTCCTGGCCTCAGTAAAGGTTTTGGTCTAATGGCGCATTATGAACCTCTTCAGCCCAATCGCGCTCCCAGAACCACCATGTGCCCATCCAGGTGGACACGCCTGATGCAACCCCCAGGTGTTGGAAGGGTGCAAGCCTCAGGGCCCAGGGCCCAGTCACAGCGGCGGTGCTCGGCTGGGGCTGGCCGAGGGTGGCTGTCTCCCACTCGAGGGAGACCCCGCGCCCCCTGAACCCCCTTACCCTGAGACTTCTTTCC